ACATATTAAATTATAGATATTAAATTATACACATCATTTAGCTAAATGTAAGTGGTATGGTGAGTGCTTTCTGAATAAATAGGTTCTATTATTTAGCAGATGCAGCCTCAGATGATTCTAAAAATACTCATCATGGTCTCAATGGCATTTTTCCAGTATTGGCTGTTTGGGTGCCAAGTTACAACCAAGAATGAAATTCTCAGGGTTTCATGGTACATTGTATGAAAGATTATCAAGTAGCTCTGAACACCACTGGTAATTCTCCTTAAACTGTGCCTGAAACTAGGCTAAAGGAAAGTAAAACTTTAGTTATTTCTAATGACTAATTAAGACAGTCTTGAAGAAATTTTCTGTTTGATGTTTCTTGCTACTCATTTATTGTTTCAAAGTCAGATATCTCGTATTTAACTTCCTATTTTGTCTTTCAGTGTTATGTTGCATAAGTGATCTGTCGGTTATATTGGGTAAAATTATAAATGTGAAGCCCTTGAAAATATACCCTGTCCCTGCTAGGCTCAAGGCAAAAATAATACTCAGGTTTAGTCCTAGGCAATCACCAAGCATGTCCACAATTCCGGGGGTGCAACCCTTCATGTGGTTTGGTTGAAGTTAGCCTACACATTGTTTCCCTACCTTTGAAATAGTCCCAACTCTCTTAGCCTTTACAGGTCAAATGTTTCTGGCTTTATCCACTTTTGTAATTTTCTTTGAGCTCTTCTAATGTGTTATACTTCCATTGATCCTTAAATGACAAAGTACCTTGGGAAGAGTCTGGCCTATGAAGAAGGGGAACAGAGAATAATGGGGGTGGGTCTAAAACATGAAAATAATGCTAACCCAGCCTTTTTAGCTTTGAACTAGAACCTTTGGGGTGCTATCTCTGGGACTATTTTGGCAACTCAGTGGATGCATCCAGAAAATATGAGCCTTGGAATGCCTGGGTGGCTCAGTTGGATAAGCATCCAACTCTTGGTGCCGGCTCAGGTCATGATCTCAGAGTTGTGAGATGGAGCCCTGCATCAGGCTCATGCTCAGCGGGCTGTCTGCTTGACATTGTCCCACTTGTGCTCTCTCTCTCAAATAAATAAATCCTTTAAAAAAAAAGTGAAAAGAAAATAGGAGCCTTCTTAGCCTTACCCTGTACCCTGAATGATATCCAATTTTTATATGCTCATTTATTTTCTTAGAATGCTAGTCCTTTCTTTTCTTATGAAAGAAAAACACCACCTGCTGTAGCTGGGTGGTGAGACCAATTCAGATACATTTTATTAGAAAAGATGTATATTGCTATGGGAAAAAGAGCCTAAAAAAAAAAAAAAAGAAGAAATATATTGCCAAACAAAAAATTCCCTAGAGAACAAAGATCATGTTAATATTATATATCAGACAAAGCAGATTCTTATCTGTTTTTAGATTCTTTATCACTGAAGATGTTTTCTGTTCAGGGTGTATAATTTCAGTGCCTCCTAAGGCATGCCTTTTGAACCACAGTTCTCTCTATAAATTATGACTTAAAGACTTAATTCCATTCCACTCTCTAATAAAAATTTGCTCCTTAAAGACTCATGTTGGAAGGCATCTGTGAAGAATTCTTGCAAAAATGGCTGGTCCTTACTTTTTGCTAAAATTAAATAAGCCTAGTGGATTGTCATTGTTATGTTTCCCTTATTTCTTACTTTAAAGAAATAATGACATCTTACAAAAACCGAAATGGAGATGATAGTGGGTAGCCAGTACTGGCCTTGACATCTTGAAAACTGAAGTTCTTTTTTTCCTGCAAAGTTATGACAAGTCTTCTTCTCTCTGGTCTAAGGGAATGACACACCAGCCTGCCCTGCGTCCCACCCCCAAATAGCACACATGCACACCCAAAAAAGCATTTAAGAAACAAACAAGATAGGTCAGTTTCCATTTGCTCAGAACCTTTTTAAAACGTTTCTGAAACCTTACCTCTACTGAAGTTATTCCTTAAAAAGTTCCTTAAAGTTCACTATTAATAGGTATGTATGTTATATGTAATATATGTAGAACAGCATTTATCATATAACTATGATAGCCTTTACTCTATTTCACTATTTTAAACACTTTTGTAAGTTCAGTTATTTAGTCCATCTAACACTTTGAAGTAGGTTCCATTGTTAACCTCATTTTACAGAGGAGGAAACTGAAGCAAAACCACATCTTGAAAAGTAGCAGACCTCCTTTGAACTCACACATTTCAATTGCTCCTCGGCAGCCTGCTCTGCTGGGGCTTCCTACTTCCCAAACCAAATGAAGGCCACTTGGTTTCACTCGTACTGAACTTCCAGTGAGCAGCATTTGATGTTGTCAACTACCCTTTTTTTGAAAGTTGATCTTCTGCATTTGTGACAATTATTAACACACGGTTCCGTGTCACGCAGATGCTAGGCACTGGGTACATTTCATTGAATACAAATCAGACAAAATTCTTTTTCTGTGTGGGACATACATTCTACTGGGAAGAGACAGATAATGACAGCCCATGAACCATCAACACAGCAAAGTAAATTTCACAGTGCAGTAGGAGGTGGTACGTGCTATGGAAAAATGTCTGTAAACATTTATAAAGAGGGAAGGGTAAAAGGATTTGGGAGTGCATATTAAAGGGAGTGGTCAGGGGAAGTTCTATTAAGAAAGTAAAGTTTGAGCAAGGACTGCAAGGAGGTGGGAGACTGGTCATGAGGCTATCTAGGGGGAGAACATTTCCGGGAGAGGAAACCAGGGGTACACAGGCTTTGAGATGGGTTTGCACTGGTGTGATCAAGGAAGGCACAGAGTCGAGGCTGAGGCCGGAGAAGGGTCAAGGGGGAGGAGTAGAAGACAAGGCCCAGGAAGTACTGAGCAGACGGAGCAGGACCTTGTGGGCTGTCCTGGGGAAGTTGGTTCTTCCTTTGAGAGAAATGGGGACCCTTTGGAGAATTTTGAGTGGAGGAGTGACCTGATGTGGTGTGTGTTTTTATAGGATAATTCCGGCTGTAGATGAGGCAAAGGTGGGAAAACAGGAGGCTATTAGGATAATCCAGGTGAAAGAAACAGGAAGCTCGGACAAAGGCAGCAAGGGAGGCGTGAGAATTAGTCACGTGTTGAAGGTAGAGCCAAGAAGATTGGCTTGGAGGCAGCATTGCAAGAAAGAGGCCAATTCAGGGTGACCCCAGGGTTCTGGCCTGATCAGCTGGAATAGAGTTGCTGTTAACTGAGATGGGAAAGTCTGTGAGTGGAGCTAAAGTTAGGAAAGTCTGTGAATGGAGCTCAGTTTGGATACAGAACAAGAACACATATCAACAAAAACATGTTAAATACAATATGAAAAATTAAGGGCAACTGAAATGTCTAACAATAAATACCTGGATGAATAAATTGATAATGCCCCCATACAGTGGAGTATGGGAACTGTATGGGGCAGTTAAAATTAAAAATATTAAAAATATTTTGCACATCTGTATATTATTGACATATTAACATAAAAAAGCTGATTGCTAAATAGTACTCATGGCTCAACCACATTCCTATAAAAAAGAAAAAAGTACTTTGTTTTGCATAGGAAAAATAAAATACGTAACAAAATTATAGTAGTTGCAGTGTGGGGCAATTTAATTTTAAATTTTTTGTTTTTATATCTTTTTAAAATTTTTGTCAAAACTTTTTGTGAATAAAAAGGGAAAATATATATTCTACCTACATTTTAATAAGATTTATATAAATATAATCTAAATATAATATATGTCTGCATAGAAAAAGACCCAGAGGGGGTTGCCTGGGTGGCTCAGTCAGTTAAGCGTCTGCCTTCAGCTCATGTCATGATCTAAGGGTGCTGGGTTTGAGTCCTGCATCGAGTTCTCTGCTCAGCGGGGAGTCTGCTTCTCCCTCTCCCTCTGCCCCTCCACCCCTCTCTGTCTCTATCTCGTGCTCTATCTCTCTCTCTCAAATAAATAAATAAAATCTTAAAAAAAAAAAAAGACCTGAAAGATGTACCCACAGTATTAATGTATTTTCTGTAAATGGCAGGGACATGAATGATTTTTTTTTAGATTCTTCGTATTTTCTTTTTCTTTTTTTTAAGATTTTATTCTTTAAGTAAACTCTACACCCAGTGTGGGGCTTGAACTCCCAACCCCCAGATCAAGAGTTGCATGCTGCACTGACTGAGCCAACCAGGTGCCCCTAGATTCCTCATATTTTCTTATTTTTAAAAAACAAGTATTGCCAGGGTAAAATTTTTAAAAGTTATAAATTAAAAGGAAAAGTTCACACATGGTCAGCCAGTAAACTTGCCCTGTAAGGTATTGTATCTTCATCTTATGGACTATGTTTGGGACTATGAGGCTGGGTGCAGGACCATTGCATAGGAAGGGGTGGGGGGACATTCATTCCCATGTTTTGAGAAACTACAGAGGTAACAATGTTTTCCACCATTATTTTTCACCAATCAGCCCTCTTCCTGCTATGAAAGATACTGAGAACAAGGAGAGGCAGGTAGAGAAGGACTTGGAAGATCACTGACCCCCTCCTCCAATTCAAATAACCTTTAACTGTCTTCAAATGATTCTTCAGGAAGGAGTTTAAAAATTGCAACGATCTTATTAAAACACTTTATACACTATAAAATGTTAAGATCTATATCACTTTTAAAAAATTCATCCATTTCTCCATTGTTGTTGATGATTACTCTTTTTTTGATACCTCAAACTTCAACCTGATATACTTTATTACTTCAGAAGCTTAAAGTATATGAAGTTCTGAATGCTGCCAAATTTAAACCCCACACTCTTTAATGATTTTTTTTAGGTAATAACAACTCATCCTAGACAGGGAGACTTTAAAAATAGCTTTATGACCATTTTGTGGTATCCATTTTCAAATGCCAGTAGGCAGAACTGTATACCAAAGTGTAATATCAGGTTCTAAGAAAGTGATATAGATATGAACTAGCTGCCTCAGTGGAATGATTGAGTGATGTGATTTTGTTTTGTCATTTCAAGGGAGTGAAAAAAATAGACCCCGAATTCTATGAAAAATTTATCAGTCACAGATTTGGAGAAGAAATGGTACATCGCATAGATCTTTGCTCCATGCTAAAGAAAAAACAAAGTAATGGTTATTATCACTGTGAGTCTTCAGTTGTGATTGGTGAGTACCATTTAAAGACTACTTACTATCTTCAGTTTTTATTTCTTTAGCATCATTCCTTTTGGCAGATATTTAGGGCTAGTTGTATATATTTCTCTCAATGACATATTTTTGTAAATATTTTATTTTGGCAATAATACATTGGAAATTTTATAGAACATATTTACTATTCATATTTATCAGTCAAGATTTTAGTTCCTATGGTTTTTATACTTTTGTGCTTTAAATATAATTATAATGAAGTCTTGAAACGATTCAAAATTCATTCCAGTTTAATTTTATTTCATGAATATGAAGAAAGCATCTTCTCCAGTGAAGGCCTCTATAAACACACTATTCCACACCAGGCATTTTCATGTTTGCTGCTTTTAATTAGGAATTAGGAATAGAATATTCCAGGCCAAAAAGTTTCATTCTGAGAAGATAAGGTCTAGGTGGCCTGCAAAGATTGAAAACTTGTCCTTCAATTTCTTCCTCAAAGGAAACATGGTTTTTTTTGCGGAAACAAAGATTCATATGTGAATGCTTCTATCATCTTATCAGGGAGATGGCATGTGACTGAGACAGACTCATACACAATTATGTTTCCAAGTGGAAAGTGTACACATCAAATGAAGATATTTTTTAAACAGAACAGGGTTATTCTGCTGTGTGAATGTATTCAAAGGAATCTGATCTCTTGTGATGCAAATGTGCTATTTCAAACCCAGGCATTATTCTTATAAAATTGTGAACTTCAAAAAAATTTTAAAGATAAAATACAGTTGTGAACTTCAAGACAACCGGATTTGTATACTTTTGAAGTAACAAAGAAGAAGTAATCAAAGAAGATAAATACCTGTATTTAAATATTTCAAGGTCTTCAACCAAGATAATTTCTCTCCATATCAGCTTGAAGAAAACCTGTGGAAGTATACTTAATACTGAAGTTTATTAATGCAATAAAGAAAATATTCCAGAGACACAATTTTCTTTACAAATTCTCACTAGACGTTTTCAGAGAAGTCATCATTTTACCTTTCCCCAAGACCTTAGCTATCTTAAACGGGAGATATTCAGTATGTCATCTGAATTTATATTCTGAAACATTTCACGTCTATTTTAAGACAGATTTTTGTGTTTTCAGAATCTCTGTTGGAGAGCTATCTTCCATCGAGGTTTTGATGAGGACCAAACATTTCCGTTTGGGATAGTAGCAAAGGACAAATTTAAGACTTTCTTGTGTAACACAGATGTGGGCTAGCTTTCTGTATGTTCTCTGTGTACTTACGTTAGGCCAACGTTGAAGGAGAACTAAGGAGAACTCCGTGCTCTTCTTTGTAAACAAACGTATAAAAAACCCCGAGCAATGTGTAGATTTTCCCAAAGATATCGTGGGATTGGCATCAGACAGCTTATACCATGTGTCACGTACATTGCCGTTAGACAGCTCTGTTCAGCTCACCCCAAATCACGATGCATCAACCAGTGAATTTTCTGTTTTATTGCTCTTTTCCGCTTAGTCTTGAAAAGTCCCCTTATTCTAGGCAACATCTCCAGATTTTCCCCTCAGGCTTCTTTATCTCTCATCTTTTTTAACTCAGAGCAATTTAGCTTCTCTTAAACCACCAATCTTGTATCCCCATACTGATCATTTAACATTTTAAAAAATGGTTTTTGCCTGTTACAGACGCTCTACTTTTTCTGTCACATTTTGGGATGCCAAAATGAACTTTAAAATCATATTTGCATCTAAAATGATAATTATTATGTTATAATTAACCAATTTTAATACACACTAGAATTCCTTTATCTACTATTGATAGTTACTGATTTTCTCAACCTTATTTTTACCTGAGTTTCATAACAGAATATTTAGGAAGATTCAGGACACTTTCTTTGTTTCTTGATCAGATTTAATTGGCTTCTTTCTGATTTGATCCTAACTCAAGTTTAAAGCCTGTTTCCTATACCTTGAACCAGTATTTTATTGTGTTAATATTGTATTGTATTAATAGAGTGGGACAGATTTCCATTCTTAAGATATTTTGCATTCAGAAGTCTAGGGTAGAAGTTGGGTTCAAAGACTCTGGGAGTTGTTTATAAAACTTTGTATGTAGGTACATAAGTGAATTTTTCTGGGGAGGGAATTCATTAGATTTGCATTATTTGCTATGTCTTAATTTGTTAATAGTGAATTCTTGGGGAGTAATATTTTCTTTTTGGCTGTCTCAATAATGCCATTTAGGGCATCTTATTATTATTATTATTATTTAAAAAATATTGGGCGCCTGGGTGGCTCAGTCATTAAGCGTTTGCCTTCGGCTCAGGTCATGATCCCAGGGTCCTGGGATCGAGCCCCACATTGGGCTCCCTGCTCAGCGGGGAGCCTGCTTCTCCCTCTCCCACTCCCCCTGCTTGTGTTCCTGCTCTCGCTAACTCTCTCTCTGTCAAATAAATAAATAAAATCTTTTTTTAAAAAAATCAATGACTACATGGTCATCTCCAAGATTTCCAATTGGTTCTTTTCATATTGTCCTGTTCTGTTCTTTGCCTCATGGACATTATTCCTTCATTTATCTCTTTGAGGATTTCAATATAATTAATTCTTAGTTCTTTTCATATATTTAAAAATATTTTATTTCATTTTTCTTTTTTAAAAATAAATTTGGTGTGTAACATTGTATAAATTTAAGGAGTACAAGGTATTCCTTTGATACATTTATATATTGTGATATGATTGCTGATGTAGCAATATTTATCACATTACATAATTATAGTACAATATTTGTGTCTATATTAATTATACTGTAAATTAGATCTTTATGGCTTATTTACTACTTGTTATAAGTTTGTACACATTGAAACACCATTACTCTTAACCCTCTACCACCCAATTTTCTGGTAACCAGAAAAGTTTTACTGTTTTTTACAGGTTTAACTTTCTTAGATGCCACTTACAAGTATCATACAGTACTCATTTTTCTCTGACTCATCTTGCTTAGCATGATGTGCTCACGGTCCATCCATGTTGTCACAAGTAGGAGGATATTCTCCCTTCTCATGGCTGAATAAAATTCTATTATGTATATGTACCATATCTTTTTTATCCATTCATCCATTGATGGGCATTTGGGTTGTTTTTGTATTTTGGCTATTGTGAATAATACTGTGATAAACATGGGAATTCATATATCTTGTTGAAATCCTCTTCTCATTTCTTTGGGTTTATATCCAGTAGTAGAACTACTGGATCGTATGGGTATTTCTATTTTTAATTTTTGGGGGAAACTCCATACTCTTTCATATAGTCATTGGACCAATTTACATTCCCACCAAAAGTGTGAAAGGGCCCCATTTTCACCATATCTTTGCTAACATTTGTTGCCTCTTGTCTTTTTGATGATAGTCATTCTGACAGGTGTGAGGTGATACTGCATTGTGGTTTGGATTTGCATGTCCCTGGTGATTAGTGACGTTGAGCATCGTTTCATGTGTCTGTTGGCCATTTTGAACAAAAAAACCCCAAATAATCTGATTTAAAAATGAGTAGAAGAGCTAAATAGACATTTTTCCAAACAGGACTTTTCATATTTTTAAAATCTCTAGTTCCTTGGGTGTGAATTCTTCTATTTGTTGGATCTTCTGTGGCACTCCTTTTCCTCTGGGGCTTTTTAGCTTTTTGAGCACTCATTGTGTTGAACTTGTGTGGTTTGGCAGATGTCTCACCGGGAACACTGCTTTGAACTGGGCAGCTGACAACAGCAAACCATCCTTGTCCATAAGAAGCTAGAATTTGTTCTTTTTGTGTCTTTTATCAACTTGTGAAGGTTTTGTTTGTTTTGTTTTGTTTTTTTATAGTAAAGACAATTAGCCCTTTACTATATTGGCTCAAATATTTTCCAGGTTTTATTTTACATTTAATTTTGGTCACAAGGCATTTTTCACAATAATTGCTTTTTAAAGTTTTGTTAAATTATAGATGAAAAATTCTTCTGTGATTTCGTTAATTATTATAGTTAAGAGTCATCCCCAAATCAAAGATTTGATGCATATTCATTTATATTTTCTTCCAGTTTTGTTGTTGTTGTTGCTTTTGCAGTTGAGCTTTTAAACTACCTGATCTGATCATTAATATAAGTACTCAGACCCAGAGGATTAATACAGAAATCCGGTTACTAAAAGTGAGTGTGAAGTAGGGATTTAGTTTTAGGAATGTATTTTTATGATATTTTTTTTATACCCCAGCTCTGTTCCAGAGATCATAAATTAGCAGCCTTTCATTTTGTATTTCACTGGCACAGAGTTTTGTTGTTTTTTTTTTTCTTCTAATTTTAATAACTTGCCAACATTGGGGTAATTTTATGTAAAAAATCTGGGTTCCTGCTGCCTTCGGAACAATTAGAAAATGTGACACTGGTTCTACATTCTTGCATGGTAACAATTTTCTGGATAGAGTAGTTGGCACACTGACCTTAGAAGTAGCTGCCTTTTATCATCCCCCTTACTCTGTTTTTCTTACCATAAATTTGCTGAGCATGTTCACACCATGTGCTTGGTTCCAGAAGGCATCTGAATTTGGATTTCCCCTGCCAGTTACTGCTATTCCCTGTGCCTACTTTATATTTCCATGCTGAGCATTTTCCTCTCCCTCTTCAACCATCATATACCTTGATCTGAGTTGAGTGTTAGGAGAGTTTGATAGGATATGCAGGCAACATTCATATTTTCAGATACAAGAAAAGGTTCTACATCTTAGTTCTCTCATAGTCCAAACTTTAGGTGATATTATGCCTGCTTAATATTGGGCTGCAACTCCTTACAAATCTAACTACAATAGTCAGCTAAAATTCAAATCCAAAAAGAAAAAAAAGGTAAAAAAACATTTTTTTCTGGTGAAACTAGGAATGAAATATGGCTCAGATATCCTGGAGTGGTGGAAGCTGTTCTCAGTGAGCTACTTACAGGAGTTGGGTGAATTAATTTTTCTCAGGCAGCTATATTCCATTTATATTTCCTTA